AGACTGTAAAAAGTGTAGCCAGAATAGTGCAGCATGAAGTGGTTATGTGGGGTCAGACTAGATGGCCTGGGATGATGGCAGATGACCACTTCTGCCTTGCTCTGTTTCTATGTCAGGGGTCCTCAAACTTTTCCAACAGGGAGCCAGTTGAAAGGTGCTGGTGATAGGCGCAGGCTGCCAAGGCGGTGTGGGGGGGGGGGCACGGGCCGGGGCGGGTGGGTGCGGTGATTGTTTTCTCCAAGCGAGTCCAAAACAATCTCCTTGTGAGCAAGCTGCCCCACGGCGAGGCACCAGCTTGCTCGTGCAGAGATCGTTTTGACCTCACTTGGAGAAAATGATCTCCTTGCCAGGAAGCCGCCACTGGGACTGACTCTCCGAGCGAATCCAAAATGATCTCCACATGAGCAAGCCACTGCCTTGCCACATGCACACATGAGTCCAAAACTTCTATCGGGGATCAGATAAATGGACATGGTGGGTCAAATCCGGCCCACGTACCGTAGTTTGAGGACCCATGTTCTATGTTGTATCACACCTGCCTTGCAAGGGCTGCTCTGGTTAAAGAATGTATTTCTGGGCACAGTGGCTTAAGTCAGGCATCCACACATGTTTTAGGGCAGTGAGAACATTTGAAATCAGGGAGGGTGTCATTGATGCTCTCACACACTGGCTATCATAGGCAACAGTTTGCCCTTCCATGAAACAGACACCCTGCTACCCAAGGTTGAGAACAAGATGCCCATTTCTTAAAAGGAAAATGGATGGGACTAAAAGACAAGTACTTTGGCCACCTAATGAGAAGGAACAACTCACTGGAAAAGACCCTGATGCTGGGAATGATTGATGGCAAAAGGAGAAGGGGGCAGCAGAGGATAAAGTGGCTAGATGGAGTCACTGGGGCAGTTGGTGAGAGCTTAGCTGGACTCCGGGGGATGGTGGAGGACAGGAGACCCTGGAGGAATGTTGTCCATGGGATTGTGACGGGTTGGGCATGACTTTGTGACTAACAACAACAAACCAAAAGACGAGTGATTGACCAAGAACCTAGGCACAGGACAGGGGTGTTGAAGCAGCACTGAGTTCCAAAACACAAAACAAAAACTTTTGACTCTACATAAGAGAGGTGCTGGAGGACATTCCTTCAATCTGCACTATGCTTGCCTCCCACTTGTAATTTTAAAAAGAAAAGAGGAAGACCATTGATATGAAATAAAAATGAGGAGGGACTCTGGAGGGCACCTGGAGTCATGTCTGGAGCCCACTGCTGCCCACATCAGACCAAGCTTATGCCTTGGGGACCATCTCCTCCTGGATTCACCTCCTCATACTTCAAGATCTGACAGAGCACTCCTTCTGTATGTCCCAACCATGGTGGAGGCAGCCTTCTTTTTTAGGCATGTATCTGCCTTATCTGATGTTCCTGGCTGAACTCTTGCATCTGCCTGCTTTTCTGTAGACCCCTGCTCTTTCTTTCTTTTAGAATATGATGATGGATTAAAATTGCTTCAGGTGCTCAGAAAAGCAGGATATAATGACGGGGGAGAACTCAAACCATGTTGAGAGGGTTAGTCTCAAGCAGACCGTGACTCACTCCACCTGGATGTTTTCAAACTCTTGTCTGGGGCTGAGTGGCTGAGGAAGAGCTGTTTCTTAAAAAAGACACACATCTGAGTGTTTGAGGTCAAACTGCTGGGCAGCATCCTGCCAGGCTGCTCCACCTCCACAGTTCCATTGTGCTCACAGGAGGGACATCTTGTGCTTTCATACTTCTAAAAATAGGCCCAGAAATGAGCAAAACCAGACTGGTTGATGGAGTGCCTTCCTGAGAGGGATTGCCTCCAGCCAGTTTGCCCAATAAGCTTTACGGCTGTCTGGGGATTTGACCCAGCCTCTCCCCATTCTGAGTCTGGCCCTCTCCCCACTACGCCACTCTGGCTGTCTCAAAGGGTGGCATGTTCAGCTGTCACAGATCAGGCACATGCAAGTCTGCAACCCCACATGTGTTTTGGGGTAAGGATAGGTCTGTTACCTTCTAATTACTTACTAAGACATAATTAGGGTCCGCTTGGAGCCCATAGGATAAGCTGCCCATTTGCACAACAATTGTCACTCCAATCCATTATACAAAGCCCATCAGACATATTAAAAGTAGGATTTGCTACATTGGATGAAGCAACAGCCAGTGGACCGATTAGTTGGACAGCACATTTTCAACAAAGCTGCTTACACATTAAGCTTTATTAAATGAGTAAGTCAAGCTGACAAGCAGTTGAATATCATGAAACCTGGTCTTTTTTTCCCTCCGGTGGAGTTGCTGTAGCATTCATTATTCACCAGAGGTAATTGAGGTTACCAGGAAAGGAGCTCAGGTTATAAAAAGGCAGGCGGAATGCTGAGGGGGGGGGCGGTGTCTAAGTGAAAATCCTGCATTTCTAACTGATATTTTTTTCTCCAAAGAAACTGGAGTGAGATCCTAGTTATGAAGCAAGCAAGTGCCCAGTTTCAGATTTTAAAAGTATGCCTGTGAAGATTAAAACAGAGCTGAAATGAACTTTTACCTATGTTCAAAGTCTACCAAAATGCACTTGGAATGGCCATTCCAAGTGTTATATGCTCGTGCTCCAAATGCTGATCTTTATGCAGCTGAAACTGTACTATCTGCACACAAGAGGGAATTATGAGAGTCCTTCAAAAAGTTTCCATGCTTTTATGTTTTATAAATAAATAAATAAATAAATAAATTTGCCGATGGAATTACTAAGTCAGTATGATGCTGGGAATAATGCATCACAAAGGAAGGTGACTATGTAGAAAAGTGATGTAATTTGTTTTTGAAATTTTAAATAGAGTTTTAAAAAGTGTGGAAACGTTTTGAAGGACCCTCGTATCAGCAGGAAAGAGGGATCCCCAAGCTTACAGAAGCACTCTGCAAAAAATACCCTTGAGAAAAAAGGTCAATGCAAGCGGATCCACCCCCTCGCAAAAAAACAAAAACAAAGCAGCTGGAAAAGAAGTGAGAATGTTCAATGGTCATTGAATCTTCCAGTCAGGATCTATTCAGGATCAGCACACAATGCTGATAGTTGAGAGTGGGGATAGAAAACCAGGAGTAACAGAGCACTAGAATGAAGCATCATGAAAGGGGGCTGGCTGGCTGGCACCCTGAAGAGGTGTGTGGTACACTGCAGCATTTTGTTGTGGTACCCATTTTGCTTGCACATATAGTGCAAACATTTGAATATGCATTTCAGATCTATCCCAACATTCCAACAAGTCAGGAAGGATGGCCTCTTTATTCTTTACTTGTGCACTTCCTGAGGTTTTGGGTTGACCAGTGTTGGAGACAGAGCATTAGGCTACATGAAGCTTGTTCTGAAACGCAAGCATGTGTTCACACGAAAAGCAACGGAATTTAAATTAAGTTCTCTGGTCTTCGGGAATCTCTTTTAACTTCCTCTCAGAGTTCTTGCAGGTGTTTTCTTAGAAGAGCCCCCCCCCCCCCCCCCCCCCAGATTCTTGCTGGTTTTATTTTAGGCAGTTAGGTGGTAACATAGGCAGTTAGGTGGTAACATGGTACACTTCCAGCCCACCTTGGGGTTTCATCAAGGAAATTCTTTGAAAGACTTTAAATTCTTACACATGTTTTGCTGGAACAAAGCTGCTTCCCCCACACCACCAAAACAAAACAAATCAAAACACCACATCCAATTTTGTTTTAGGAATAATTAAATGATAACTCAGAGTTGGTGTTAATGGACTGATGACTCTCTTTCCCTTTTACATGCATGAAATGCAGGATACAGGCTGCTGAACTTCCTTTTCTGGTGAGGTCTACCTGGTGCCAATATTATAATCTTGTTGATGCAGCTTAAGACTTGACTCGCAGGCATTTAATGGAATATGATGGACTCCTTGATTCCACTGTTTTCTCGGCTTAGGGTGTTTTCTTGTTAATTAATCATGGGCAGGTTTTGTGGCTCTTTTAAATGTGTATATACTTAATTCTTTGTTGTAAGAAGCCTTGAGTCTGAGAAAAGTGCCTAAAATGCTGTTGTTATTATTGATGATGATGAATCTGAATTTCATTTCTAGATGAAAGATTTTGGTCATCTGTGTCAAACCAGCACAATTTGTAACCATCAAGTCAAATATATGTGTAATAACCTCCTGGGTTTGGTAAAGCTACTGTGTTTGTAGCCTGCTGGAAGATATGCATTTTTAATTTTGTAATTACATTTATAAGACCCTTTCTTCCTTTTGCAAGGACCACAAAGTGGTTTATGTAGACTGTCCTTTCCTTGCTATCCTCACAACAACAATCCTGTGAGGTAGGCTAGGCTGAGAGTCATTGACTGGCCTAAAGTCACCCAGTAAGCTGAATTGTCTTGAGAGATGTAGTGGGAGCCCTGGTCTCCCAAGTCCCACTCCAACACTCTAACACCAATTATCAAGCAGGTGATGGGTGCTTAGCTATGGTCAGACTGCATTGCAGGTGCAGGTGTGTGTATATGGAATGCTCTAAGACAGTCTTCTCCAACCTGGTGGCCTTCAGAGGCATTTGGATCATAACTCCAAGAATACCCAGGCCCATTGAGTGTTTCTTGCTCCAAAATAAAACCAAAACCTACACAAGGGCATTGAACCTCATTCAGCCCACAGGCCAAATTTCATTCTGGAAAAGCTCCTGGGGGCTGAATTCCAGTAGTGGGTGGAGTCAAATGCAGAAGGGGCAGGGGAAAAGCAGTGTGTGGAGGGGTGGAGCAGAATCAAAGTCTTTAGGGGTTTCTCATGGAAGATCCCTAAGTCTTAGGCGAAGCCTTAGGGGTCTTCCATAGAGAAGAATTAGGGGGGAATGTCAGGGCCAAACTGTACAGCACACTAAATAAAGCACAGAATGTTATTTGTACTAAATCCACTGTGTGATAGCCCTTCCTTTCAAAGGATCTTCCAGATCACTGAATTTATCGGGATTTGTGGGGTTGTTCTTGCAGGGTAAAGGGATGGCCAAACTCTATGCCAAGCCCAAAGAGATGGCTCAGCTCATATCTCCCCAGCCATGGCTAGAGGATGCCCTGAGCTCCCAAGATGAGATGAAGGATGTTGACGGCAGACGGGCCTCCTATGGGATACTTGCCAGCCTCAATGAAGAGCATGACAGTGTTGAGGAAGAGGAAGGGGAAGAAGATGGTGGGAAGCCAAAGAGAAGGGGCCCAAAGAAGAAGAAGATGACCAAGGCAAGACTGGAGAGGTTCCGGGCTCGGCGGGTGAAGGCCAATGCCCGAGAGAGAACACGGATGCATGGGCTCAACGACGCTCTGGATAACCTTCGGCGGGTGATGCCCTGCTACTCTAAGACACAGAAGTTGTCCAAAATCGAGACCCTGAGGCTAGCCAGGAACTACATATGGGCTTTGTCTGAGGTGCTGGAGAGCGGGCAGACTCCAGAAGGGAAAGGTTTCATAGAGATGCTGTGCAAAGGTTTGTCCCAACCAACCAGCAACCTGGTTGCTGGTTGTTTACAGCTGGGACCTCCATCCCTGTTCCTGGAGAAACATGAAGAGAAAGCCCCTGCTTCTGATGCTGCTGTGCCTGGCCACAGTTTTTCCTACCAGTCCCCAGGGCTGCCCAGTCCACCGTATGGAAACATGGAGACACACCTAGTCCACCTAAAGCCTCCCACATTCAAAACCCTGGTGGATCCTCCCTTTGGCAGCCACCACCAAGACTGCACATCTCCTCCATATGAAGGTCCCTTGACCCCTCCTCTGAGCATCAGTGGAAATTTCTCCCTAAAGCAAGATGGGTCTCCAGACCTGGAGAAATCATACAGCTTCATGGCCCATTACCCATCAGTTAGCTTAAGCAGTTCCCATGGGCACACCTCTCACTTCTCGGCCACAGGGCCCAGGTATGAAATCCCCGTAGACATGGCCTATGATTCCTATCCTCACCATGTGGTTGGGGCTCAGCTCAATGCAATATTTAGTGAATAACCTGAGAAAATGAAAGGCTTGTGGAGAACAAGGATGATGTTTTATTGAAATGCTCTGACATCTGTAGTATTAAAGCAGTGAAAGGAGGGATTTTCCTTGCTCCAAAGGTGAGAATCCACATAGTTCTATGGGAAACCTTTGGGAGGAAAAATCTAGCCCCATGAGCCCAGATATATTTTAGTTGTTCTGATTTATGGACATTTAGGCAGGTCCCAATTCCTAAAGTCCATCACATTCTTGCTTTGTCATTTAAGATGAAGCAATGGGGCTGATTTGGAAATGCTGTAAGTGCATCCAGTACGAATATATATTTTGCTCTCCAAAAATTAAAGAAAAACAGTGCAGCAATTTCGCAGCAAAAGCTGACCGTGGATGGTGCTGATTGGCTCCTGCTTAGGACATCTCAAAGGCGTCTCCCAATCTAGTTCCAAAGCTGTATTGCAGCAGATGAAAAATGTTTCTTTTAAGAAAATGAGATGAATAGATTAATATATAAATGGATGTATATGCATGAGGCAGTTTTAGAAGAAAAGTTGGGGAAAGCTCTGCTAAGGCACAGAGAGACAGGCAGGGCTGGCAACTGACTAGGAATAGGTGAGAAAGGTGCTCACTTTGCATTTTAATGAGAAGTTATCTAATTTGCACTTCCCAAACTGAAACAGTTATCCTTTTGATATTCTCACTTCTCAAATTTTGCAAATCTATTCTCTAATTAAAAGCAAAATGAAAACAAGACCAAGAAACAAAAATGCATGAATTAGAGGAACGTGTACACAGAAATAAGTATTTTAATACAAATAGCAGACAAAATGCATTTTTAAGGAAAATGCCTTGAAAGCTATACCTATTATGTGAAATACATAGATGAGGCAAAATGCACACAAAAATGAGCATGGATTTTCTTGGGGACTTAAAAGAATGAGTGTAAATTTCTGTGGGAATAGGATGGTAAACTTAGGACTGGAAAAATATGGAAGTGAGAGAAACTGAAATTTACAGATCTACTGATCCTTATAGCTAACTTAGCTTTATACAATCTTGTGTATATCACACAGTGTGAAGTCCCCTCACAGGAAAACAATTTGCTATGTTATTCCTTTATAAATGATATAGAAACATAGAAACAGAGAAACAGAGCAAGTCAGAAGTGGTCGCCCTGGCCATCTAGTCTGACCCCCAGCTCCAGCCGGCTCCGCTCACAACATGCCCACCATGTGCATGTCCAGCCTATCTTTGAACATCCACCTCAATGGGGCCTCAATGGCCTCCCATGGAAGCCCATTCCACACCCTCAGGGTCCTAACTGTCAGGAAGTGCTTCCTGGCATCCAAATGGAACCTTGGTTCCCTGAGCTTTGCTCCATTGGAGCGCATTCTGCCTTCCTCTGCAGGGGAGAATAGTTCTCTACCCATCTCCATGTGACATCCTCTCACATACCTGTATGTTGCCAACATACCCCCTCTGAGTCTCCTCTTCTCCAGGCTGAAGAGACCCAGTTCCCTCAGTCTTGCCTCATATGGCATCCCCTGCAAACTGGCCACCAACCTTTTAGCCCTATGCTGCACTGACTCCAACCTGGCTATATCCTTTCTGTAACAAGGGGCCCAGAACTGAGCACAATACTCCAGTTGCGGGTGCACCAGAGTAATGTAGAGTGGTAGTAATACCTCTCTTGATCTAGAAGCCACTCTTCTGGCTATGCAACCAAGGGTGGTGTTCACCCTCTTGACCACTGCATCACACTGCTGACTCATGTTTAGCCTGCAGTCAACCAGCACCCCGAGGTCCCTTTCACAAGTGCTGCTCTCCAGCCACTTGTCCCCTAACCTGTACTTATGACACCTATTCCTATGCCCCAAGTGCAAGACCTTGCACTTATCCACACTGAACGCCATTATCATCATCCATAGATCCATACACGGCCCTAAACAGAATGCCCAGTGCTTCCATACTTATTCATAGAACACAGTCCTATGGAAAATTCCCACTGTCTGCTGGAAGGCTTTCATAGGAAGAGTTTACATGGCTCACACAAAAGTTGAGGAAAGGGGAACAGCAGTGCTTATCAGATGAGGACAACAATATGCTGTGTATGCAACTTCCTGTTCTCGCGCTCGCTCTCTCATTCTTGCTCTCTTTCCTGCTTGCTTGCTTTCTCTCTCTGTAGTGGAAACCAAGAGAGGATAGAGTAAAAGTCCATTCTGGGAAATGGACACCATCTGATGTTGGAAATGTGTGTGTATGGCCAACACTGGGCAATCCTTGGGAAATTGGCTAACCTTTCCTGAAACTCTGGATCCTCCGCCTCAAAACTCCTGGAAAAAAAATAATCCTGAGCAAGAGCAGGGATAGGAGATTTCATCCCAAAAGATTCTGGTGAAAAGTGGGGAGTGGAGAAAAGAATAACCAAGAAAAACAATTTACAGGGCAATGGCTTCTTCCAGCAATGCATGTCTTCGTGCTGAGAGAATCTGCTCAGAAAAGCCCTGCACCTAAAGGAGGCCTGCTCTTAAAGCATATCACCTTCTGAGTGATACAATGAACAGTCATCATCTCACACACTGACATATTTGACATGCTTCCAAGGGGAAAGCAGTGCTGGTTGTTCTCCAGTCCAGTGATGACCCCCCTTGCATGTGTGTGCTTATGCAGAATGCAAGATGATAAGTATTCAGGACATTGGAGTAATAGTAATAAATGAAATGCTGGCATTCTCCAGGTCACCTGTACCACTTTGGCCTCCTTGTGAGGTCCAGGCTAGTCATTCCCCCTCCAAATAAAGCTAAACTTTTTAAAAAATTCTTCCTTTCTAAGGTGCTCACCACACTCCATTTTAGAACCTTCTCTGCTTGTGCCCAAGAGAGAGACTGTTTCTTGGTTCCCATGAGCCGTCTTTCCTTCCTCCAATAACCAATCCAAAAATACTCTTTTTAAAGAAGCTGATGGCCAATGTGAGGATATTAAAACCAACAGACACCATCTTGCATCACTTACTGTCACCCTCCTGTATTAGAAGTGTGAGAAATGGTTGTGGGTATTTGGTGCATGCTAAAAAGTCTTGTTATAGATCCCAGCTAATGTGCGGAACGTGCAGGATTCAGGTTTCAGAGCCTCACTATGTAGGGTTGGCTACTGAAATGGTTCCGAATCCAATATTTCCACTCCCTATTCCAAATATGTTTTCCTTAGGTTTTGATCCAGCCATTAAAAAATGCCATTGCTAATATTTGCCCAATGAAAGTCTGTGTGTCTTTATCAGTGACAGAGAAGTCATTACAGGTGTTATGTTTCTTTGACTTCAAAACCAGATGCAACCCATTCAAGGTCAAGCTGAGGCTGTGCTGACCTTCAGGTTCAAGGTGAATCCTCCTAGAGCAGTCCGACTTCATGCTGAGAAAGTAAGGTAGGGAAGCCTAGGATGTAGAACCAAGTTGAAATTTCTCTGAGGACATTTTTCAGAAAAAGATTTTCCTCAAACCTTCCTGTCCCCCTGGAAAAAGGGGGCCACTTCGAAGAATTTCCTCCAATATTCTCCGCTACTTTGGGTGGCAGCCATTTCCCCTACAATGCCATGAAGGAACACTGGCTCTGGGGCATTGTGTGAGTCCTACCACTGAGATAATGTTGGAGAATTTCTCCTCCTCGTGGAGAAATGGGGGATGTAGATTTCCCCTGCTTGGGCTTCCACTGACAAATTCTGAGAAGGCAAGTGAGCCTAGCTGCACAACAAATAGATGATTAAGAGAATAGTTGGAGAACCCTCCTGACTCCAAGCAGGTGGCTCAATGTCCTCTGTTTCAATTACTTTATATGGATTCCCCACTGCATATGCACCATTATTCAGCCACATGAATGCTGTTGTTTTCTTGCTCTCTTGCTATGTTACCAAAGTTACCTATTAGTAAATTGCAAAGTGCCACAATCTAGCATAACTTCTGCAAACATGGTTCCAGGTAGCTCTGGTGGTCTCTTGAAACTAAAGCTGCCCTAGAAATCTGCAAAATTTGAAAAAAGGCACAGGTGGATTTTCTTCCAGAGCTAAAACATGGGGAAAACATGTGTGTACATGCATGTGTGTATGAAGTTGGGTTTCTCTCTCTCTGTTTTGTGGTGCCTTTGATCCATGGTTATTTATTAGCTGCTGTTTGTGTAACTTAGGGCTCTCCCTCTTTTTTTGGGGGGGGGGGCTCAGTCCACAGATCCACCAAGCAATAACATATATATCTATGCCATTTGTGAGTCCCCATCAAAAGCCAGCCTCACATGAGTTTGCCCTATTGGTCCAAGCAGGAGCAGTACAAGCAATACATATGTCTAAGGCTATGCAATTTAAGGAGCAATCCAAGACTTACCCAGAAGATGGCTGGAAGTCCTTTGGAGGAAACCCAAGAAGGGATGATGCTGGTTAGCCATCTGAGTGAGATAGTGTAATCTGGTGTCCTGCAACAGCAGCAGGTTGGACCCGATGACCTTCATGGCCTCTTCTAACTCTACTATTCTATGATTCTATACCTGGCATACTACCGATGACCGTGGGTGGGTTCACAGGTGGAAAGGTCCACCAGAGCAGGGCTAGGGGGGATATGGTGTGTTGTGACTAGGCATGGAGGAGAAATTCATCCAGTACACATTTTAATGCCCATTTACCCAATTGCACACTTTCAAAACCCTGTGTGAATCTAATCTCAGTTATCCTTCAATCTTTGTATTTCCCTGAAATTTCAGTGGGGTTCTCCAGTCAAAAGAATCTGCACAATAATTTTTATATTAAAGAAAAATGTTCCTATTTGTATTATTGTAGGAGAATGACTTGCAAAGATATATCCGTTTTGCAAAAATGCATATGGAGTGTCATACATCCAGAGGGATGTGCACAAAATTGCTTATGACTGTTCATTTAAGAAAAATCTCAAAGTTTGGAATGGACCAACCTTAGGCTGGAGAAATGAGAAATGGAAAAAAATAAAAAACAGAGCTGGCGATTACAGTAGTTGTAACTC